CCGCATTGTTGGAACTCCAAGTTAATATACTCGGCCATAATGCACTCGCAGGGAGCTATAAGTAGTGTATACTCGGTGAATCGACCTGCTGATCCCCTTTGCTCCCGGGAGTCTCGGGGCCGATCTTCTCTCATTCTCTTCCCACCTCATCGAGTAGCGGTGAAGTTTTCGTGCCTAGAATTTATGGCACTCTCCTGGTTCCGTGAGTCGCGGGCACAGTTGGAGGCCTCATTCTCATCGTACTAGATGTAGACTTGGGCCTTGTGAAGGAGCGCGTCTAGCGTGTTAGGCCTTTCGATGCCGACCGCTTTGGTAAACTCAGTGCGAGGTCGCAGTCCTCGCTCAATCAGATATCTCTTCATGTCGTCCGAGGTAGATACTTGGACGACTTATTGGTTTAATATCTCTATGTAGTCCCAGATAGATTCTTCCTTCCCCTGAATGATGGCTTCCAGGGATGCTTGTGTCTTCGGGTGTCGTCGGGATGCGGTGAAGTGCCTCGAGAACTGTCTCTTCGGCTCTCTCCAATAGGCGATGGATTCAGGCTCGAGGTTTCTATACCACGCCATTGCACTCTTCCTTAGGGTCTTGGGAAAGAGCTTGCACTTTATGGCCCCCAGACGTTCCGGTAGTCGAGCATCGCATCGATGCTTTCAATATGGTCATTCGGGTTAGTTATACCATCGTAGGTAGCCAGGGTCGGGGGCTTCTCCATCCTAATGGGTAGACGAGCTTCCATGATGGCCTTTGATAGAGGAGTATGAGGATCGTCTTCATCGCTTCTGACGGGTGACTGCGATGGGGATCTGCCGTCCTGAGGACTTTTGCCACGGTAGGGAGAACTCCTTGGTCGGCTCTTTTGTTTCTCCATATATTCGTCATCTCTGTTTCTCTTAGGAGCGGGGGAGTGTCGCTCTTTCCAAGAAGGAGAGCGATCACGCTTCTGGGCGACCACGGGCTGAGGCCTTTCAAGTCGCGGACAATGCCCAGGTCATTGTGGAGAGGGACTCTGAGACTTATCATGTTGTACCCTCCACGGGGGAGGGGAAGGATGGGTTTCTCGTCGTCATTGTGATGGAATGCGAGAAACTGGGCGACGATGTCTCCGCGGGGGAGAGTGTGATTGTCGCTCCTTTTCTAGCATCCTGATCTGCTCGTTCTGCTGAAAGATCATCAAGTTCGTCTGATTTATTGCCGCGAACAGAGAAACCATGGTCAGGTCGGTGTTGGGCGGCACAAGGATTGGTTAGAAGACAACTGGGTTGTCGAAGCGTCTGACGATGTTGAAGGCCACATCATCGAGGGAGGGAGAGGAGGTGCGCTTGTCCCTGGCGTTGCCTTCTTTGACGTGAACAACCATATTATGATTGTGATCATCGCCGTTGGTGGAAATGGTGAATGCAGTTTCATGGATGTTATCGTCAGTGTGTTGACAGGACATGATCAATAGAGATTGAAGCATGCTTTGGTTCTTGGATTTCTTTGGTAGAAAGAACGGGGAAGTAAGATTCTCACAGATGACGCCACTGATCTTACCGGATCAGAGACCAGCAATACGTCGGGAGCTCCTTAATCTGCCGGTGGTAGAGAAGAAGAGAGGTTGTACCTACAAGGTACTCCGATGCCAAAGTAAGAAACAGAGTAAGAGAAAGGCAAATACAGAATGTTAGATTATGAATAGAATACTTGACCCTCTAGTGAAAGAGGGTATTTATAATGTACCCCCAGCGCGAGGACAACGGTTACTTTGTATTGGGTTAGATTGTTAGGCCCAATACGAATAACTGTCAAGGCTTACATGGCGTAGGGAAGACCAACACGTGGTCTTCGCCCTGGGTCAAGTGTCCCATGATCTTCATAAGGTGGGTAGTTTCCTGATGATGTGTCCCCGTGTGGAGGACATATGGAGTCCGTAGGGGGAGACGCGTGAGCACTCCCGTGTGATATGATAAGTTGGGCCTTTCCCAATGAAGAAATGGGTTGGGCTGTGCCCGATAATGGTGGAGTTAGGCTCTGATTCCATTTGTTGGACACATGATTTCATACCTAAGGGGAGGGTAAATTGTGGTTTCTAGAAAAAACGATAGTTTGAAAATATGTTATTACTTTTAGAGTTTAAATTTCATTTATAAATACATTTTAAAAATTAGTATAGGAAAATAAATATGCGGAAAATAAAGAGTTAAAGGTAAGAGAAATGACATCATAGACTTTTACATGTTTCAATCAAGAGACATAATTTTGTCTCCAAGATTTGGTCTTGTGAGTATCCACTAATTATTAAGAGCTTTTATTATGTTAATCTCTTGAACACCCTTATATAAAGAAAAATAAAGTTTCAGACTAACTTTCAACCAAACAATAAACAATGGAGATAAGTGGTTAGTCTTCCTTCCAAACGCGAACTTACGAAGATAAGAGGTTACCCTTCCCTCAAAACACGAACTTTAAGCGGTTAGCCCCCAAGCTAAAATGAGATTTTTAACATACTTATCTCGAACCAAGTTGAACTTTTATACTTGTCTAAACTTACGAACCAAACTGAGATTTTGACCAGGCTGACCACGAACAAATATGAGATTTCAAACTAGACTTATCTCGAACCACAATGAGATTTTAAATCGGGATGAACTTTATAGGTCCACAAGTGCACAAAAATACCGTTTATAATATAAAAAGTGTCAAACTCATAGATACCAATGTCAACTACCATTATATATCGCTATTATGTGTATCTAAGATGATGAATAAGTGTTTTTGTTTGCAAAGAAAAGGAAATAAGTTGTTTTGAATAAATCAGGAATACAGAGACCAAAGTATGATTCTCGTCAACCGTTAGTGCTCATTAAGTCGTTACTTATTGTCATACCCCAATTTTGTCCATGCATTTTAAATTTCCATGCAACCAGCTTTATTTTGTTTTGTCTAGAATAAATTTTTGGTTTTACAGATAGACTTGTTGAATCGGTTTCTCAATCGCACGTAAAATAAGTGAACAGTGTTTTCAGGTTTGGGCATGCAACTGTGCGTTTTATTGATCAACGTTGCGCGTAGTTTAACCTAGTGTGCTCGCTTTATTTTTGTGCACGATCGCATTTTGATCATTGTGAGCCTTTTCATCCAGATATATTTAATTGCAACATTTAATCTGCAACTGTATGTTTTACTGAACTATATTTAGCGTAGATTATTTTAATGCATTCATTTATTATTATTTTTGTACATTTTCGTGCCCGATTTTTATTAATTTTAATTCCTTTAATTTTATTTCATTTTTAATTCAAAATAATTGAGAAAATAAATTGAGATAAATAAATAATCAGTTTGATTTTTATTTGCCTTAAACAAATATGTGATTTCATTTCATTTATTTTGAACTCATTTTGGTCATTCAAAATATCTAGGGGTGTTGTAGGAATTAAAAAGTTTGCATCCCCAATTGTGTTGGTATAAATACTAGATAAAATACCCTTTATGGTCCCTTAAGTCTACCTCGAGGGTCCAATTTGGTCCTTTAGTTTTAAAAAGTTACAAAGTGATCATTTAATTTTTAAAATGGGGCCATTTGAGTCCTCTCCATAGATTACCCTCAAACGTCCATTTATGTGTGAAGATGTGGCAGCTGAGTTGGCAAGGCAAGTTCATCTTCTCCGTTTACACATAGTCATCATTCATACATTCTCAAATTGGATCCCAAATTTGACCTAGGGAAAATTGGATATAGAGATTCATCTTTGCAATTAGGAATTAGGGTTTAGGCAAGCATGAAATAAAGTGGATCTTCATCCTTGTTGAAATAGAAAAACTCAGAAAGTGGAGATTCAAATGTATACAGTAGCTCGGGATGGAAACCTGTATGTCATTGTGGGGACATGACTGTTCTTTGAAGGGCAACAGGCGTTAAGAACTTTGGAAAATATTTATGGGGTTGCCCAAATTATAAAGTATATTTGATGTTTGAACTTTGGAAAACATTTCTTGTATTATATTTGAACTATAGTCTATGAAAATTTCAGGGATCTATACAAGCTGGTTGTGGTTACTATGGATGGTTTTATGAAGATGTTGGAGATCAGAAGGAGCAATTTTGGATGAATTAGGGTATTATGATGGATCCCTAGCATTTTGTCTGTAACAGTTTATAGTAGTTGATATTAATTGACAGGTTTGGCATGAATTGTTTATATCGGTTGAATATGTTAAGAAAAGTAATAACTTTTGGCATGAACTGTTTGCAATATTTTCCATGACTTGTATGTGTCTTTGTCATACCAATTACATAACATTTGACACATAATGTTTCTAAGCAAATTCCATAAACTGATTACATAATGTTTTACACATAACATTTGACACATAATGTTTTACACATAAAAGTGATTCCATAATACATTTGACACAATGTTTTACACATAAAAGTGATTCCATAATACATTTGACACATAATGTTATAAAAAGTGATTCCATAAACTGATTCCACAATATGTTTCATGACAACATAAGCTGATAGCCAAAATATGTTCCATAAGTCATTGCACAATATGTTTCACAACAGCATAACTAATAGACAAAATGCCACATGTTAAAACTTAACCTAACAAATTACACAATATGCTAAACTAAATTTTCCAGTTTGGTGTAGATCTCTTAGTTGGTGTTGTCTTTCTTGTTGTTGGACCACCAGCAGTCTTGATTGCACTCAATCTATTTGTTGGTTCTGGTGGTACAAATGGTTTAGTTGGCCTTCTGATTGGAAACTTCTTGGCCCTTCCATGAGTTGACTATTGTGATGCTGCACTAGATGCTTAAGATTCCCTCTTAACTGGTTACTTAGATGCCTTTCCATTAGATGACTATTGGGATGTTTGTGTGTCTCCTTGTGTAACTTGTTGTGATGTTTGTGCGGCTCCTTGTGCACCTTGTTAGGATGCTTGTTAGGGTGGCTGTTGGGATGCTTGAGTGACTCCTTGGGAAGCTTGTTAGGATGGCAGTTGTGGTGCTTATTGAGATGCTCTAGTGACTCCTTGGGCATCTTGCTGGGATGCTTGAGTGGCTCCATGTTGACTAAATGATGTCACCTTGCAAGCAAGCTTATTGTGACCTGGTTTCTTACATCTACTATACTTGACAATGAAACCAATCCTTCTCATTTTTCTATCTGAACTATCAATCTCACCATGCTCTAGTTTCTTTCTCTTTTTTGGCCTTCCAGGCATCTTCCTATATTTAGGAGGTTGCACATCAGGATACTCTATTCTTACCCACATATTTGAGCCATTAACATGAAAAATCACATGTTTATACACTTCCATATATCTTGATTTTCTATAATAATCTGGAATGTAGTCATCAATCTTGTGGTTCCTACTCTTCATAGCTACCAGTGCATGAACACAAGGTAGGCCTTTCAGCTCCCATCTTCTGCATGAAAAAATATGCTCCTTCAAGTTTACTGAAAACTTGTCTGCTTGGTTTTCAAGGTGCCTAACCTCAAATATATGCTCATCAGATATCCTAAAATAGAAAAATATGTTTATCAGACATACTAGTGTGAGACTTGTATTAAACTTATGTTAAGTTCATGTATATTACCTGACAAGCCAGAAGTTTGTGTATGTGCTTGTTTTTTCAATTTTTCTTCTTATGTTAGGTAACACTTCAACATTTGCCATGTTTTGAAACATCATTCTATTAGTTGCTCATCTTTCCATCATGTATGTCCTTTTTTATTCCACCATGGTTATCAATGGCTTGGCCTTAGAATCCAGAATTACACTATTAAAAGCTTCAGATATATTATTGAGAACAACATCACACTTGTTATGTGTCTTGAAGCATGATCTACTCCAATATTTTGGTGGGGTGCTCATCATGTGCTTATAGGCATCTACATTGACATCCTTCATTCCTTTCATCTCTCTTTCCCATGCTTGGTAGTATGTTGACTTTGTTGCCTTCCAAATGTTTTTCTTGAATGTCTTAACAAGAAACCTCTTCCCTAAAATTGTTATAGAGATGCCTGAGACAAAATCTTTGCTCAACTCTAGGCAGTAGTTCATCCATTGTAGGAAATGATCCATGTGTATTCAGAACTAAACACATAAGTATAACACATATGGAAGGACATAATACATAAACAACATATGAAACACACATGTGTAACACATATGAAAGGACATAATACATAAACAACATATGAAACACACAAGTATAACACGTATGGAAAGACATAAGACATACCTTTTATTAATAAGATATAAAAGTGTATGTGAAACACTTATCTCTCTCACCAAGGTCATCAATAAGCAGCTCCAAGAACCATGTTCAGCTATCCTTATTTTCACTTTCCACTACTGCAAATGCTATTGGTAGCATTTGATCATTTGGATATCTACATATGGCTGCCAAGATTTGGCCTCCACAAAGACCTTTCAAAAAACATCCATCAAGGCCTATGAAATGTCTGCATAATTTGAAGTTCTCCTTACAAGCTACAAAGCATATGTATAGCCTTCTAAAATGGGGTATTTGGTCATCAATACCCTTTTGTGCAGGTTGGACATTCATTTTCACAGTAGGCCCTAGGTTTGATCTTAATAACTCATGGAAGTAGTCATAAATCCTCGTATAATCCCCCAGGAAAGAACCATCAACCATGTCTCTAGCTGCAAATGTAGCACTTATGGCCTTAGTCTTGTTAACCCCTACATTTCACTTCTTTTGTACCTTTTCCTTTATATCCTTAAGCTTCAATCTAGGGTTGTTTTTCAATGAGTTTTATATTCTTTTTCTCAACCATTTAATGCTCATCATCTTCATATTGTACTCTCTACTACAACTATGATTGTCTACTACCTTCCTTAGTTGCCAAGAATCCTCATTAGGCAACTTAGCATAATAAGCTTCCCACTCACATCCATCTTTACACCTAACCCTCACCCTAATCTTGTCATTTTTAGTTAACTTCAAATTTCTGCCAGATTGGACTGCATATGAGGTTATTGCTTCCTTGAAATCATCGTTGGTACTAAAATATATTCCAACATCCCATTTGTAATTGGATATGTCTTTTTGTAACTTGGACATGGTGTAATTCTTTCTCCTAACTCCACTATTATCATCACTATCACACCCACTTTCTAAATCCTCACTTTCATTATCACTCGCTTTTAAGTCATCTTTGTTTTCCTCCAACTTTTATTTACCTTTTTTGCTGCTCCACTCTTGATCATCATCTTCATTCACATAGTCAATTAGATTAGCCTATTCCTCATCCAAATCATCATCATACTCATCTGATTCATCATCAAAGGCTACCTCCATTGCACTGTCATAATTGAAGCTTTCATCCTCACTATCATCATAACTATCATCATCATTAAGCTCACCACCACTATGCACATTATCATTATTTCCATCAGTTTTGATTAACTCTTTTTCCCTAACAGCATTTTCCACACCAACATTTTCCACACCAACATTTTCACTACCAGAATTTTCCATAACATCATTTTCCCTTACACTTTTCTTCCCACTTGCCTCATTATCCTTCAGCCCAGTTTCCTTCAACCCCCCATTAACTGCTTATTCATACATTGCAACAAGCACTTCTTCACTCTCATCTACAATTTCATTTTGCTTTTCTACTATTTCATCAAGGGGACCCTTATAATAATTAGGCTGCGACAATGTGTGTTGAATATACATACATATATATATATATATATATATATATATATATATATATATATATATATATATATATATATATATATATATATATATGTATGTATGTGTATATATATATATATATATATATATATATATATATATATATATGTATGTATGTGTATATATATATATATATATATATATATATATATATATATATATATATATATATATATATATATATATATATATATATATATGTATGTATGTGTATATATATATATATACACACGTTAACACTAAGATGAACCCTATAAAGATCAACAAAATCTAAGGCACCTTTGTCATCAACTAACAAGTTCATCCCAAATGTGGGATCCCTATAATATATCTTCTCAATGGAATTGTAACCTAAATCCTTAAAACAACCTAACAGTTCAAAATAACTTCATCTATCAGTATCTATTTTCAAATCATCAACCTCACCCCCTTCGTACACACTGAATTCGTCATCAACAGATTCACCACTGTGGTGGATTTTTAGATGCAAATAATCATCCATATCAACCTATGTCCTATTTCATAAGAAGAAGCACAATAAAAAAAATATGAAGTTCAGAGAGTTTGTACATGTAACCCTAAAACTATAAAAACCTAAAACGATAAAAATAGATAATTTGCACTCAAATCACTTCAAACATACCTCACTGTCTTCGATTTCAACTTGAACAAACAAGATTACCTCAATTCGCAGCAAATTCACCTTAACTATGCAACAATGATTGCGCTAGGGTTATTTTCTACACTTCTGAGATTCACCTTGAACGTGTTTCTTTCATTTCATTGCCCTTTCTTTTTTTAAGTTTGCAACATCATATTCCACATGACATGAATAATGACACATCAGCCACACGTGTGCACCGAATGTACAATACCTTTGACTTTGAGTAACGGTGCTGACGAAAAGGACGAACGTGGCACCATTTTAAAAATTAAAGGATCACTTTGGAACTTTTTAAAATTAAGGGAGCAAATTGGACTCTTAAGTAGACTTAAGGGACCAAAGAGGGTATTTTTCCTAAATACTAACTTATTTGACCAATGAAAATGGATACATAGTTGTGTCTCCTGCATACACTCTGATCTCTCTATAATTTGAAAATTAAATAAAAAAAATAAAGAAAGGGCTTCAGTAGAAATGTGAGTACTTGGATCTTCCCATCACATTTCCATCACCAAAATGTCCTTACCTCCATACACAAAACTATGACCTCTATCTTCGTAGAGTTTCAACTCAATATCTTTTTCATTCACTTTCAGACTGTTCACAACTACCACTACATCACCTTTTCTACTCATTTCGACCTACCTTTCATTAATCTCACGTCCCTTTCAATCTTCTTCAATCACTTCCAAAACACGAATCATCCACCCTCAAACCATCACCTATGTAAACAGCTTTGCTATCTTGACACCCATTTTGTACACCACATACCTACACCATATGCACTATTCACCATATTTATACGGTGAACAGTATTTTTTATTAAAATAATAAAAAATTTAAAATATTAATTTTTTAAAAAATATTAATTTTTAAAATTTATTTTATAACACAAATATAAGATTGCGTCATTAACCAACTTCACAATTGGATTAACCACAAAAATCTACATTATTAACCAATTATTTCACCTATAATTCATTAACTACTTTCACTACTTCATTAACCAATAAAATACATACTATTAACCATGAGACTAAATTATAAATATTTACATAATATTAACAAAATTCTGAATGATATATATTAACCAGAATTTATATTAACCAAACTTTAAAATGTATTAACCAAGTTTTAATATTTCATTAACCAAATTAATTTTAAAGAAAATATATTATATAGCTAAAATAATATGAAAAATACTTTTCACCTATTTGTGAACAGTAAATTGGGTGTTGTGTCATTTTTTTAGTGTAAGAATAACATTTTTTCCTATGTAAATCATCACCATCCCCATTATCATCTTTCTGCGCATATCACTCGTTCACGCAAACCAACCATCTCTGGCGTACACTCACGACCATCCTCCACTTCTATTGACCACCATAAATCAACACGAACACCACACCAAATCTACCTCTGTCAAAACTCCCCCCACCATTTTTGAACTCCACCACCTCTAATCACGTGACTCAACACCGACCACCACACTACAATGAACATCAACCTCCCACCGCCTGCAATTCTGGCCGCTCAACCTCGCTGTCGGACAACAACCACCACACATTTTTCATACTCCTTCCGGCCACGAACTGCTAGTGTTCAGTCACCGTGCTTCAAACAACCAAACTTCTTCGTTAATACAACCGGCACGCACCACCATTCTCACCGGTGCAAGTTCCATCAACACCAAACCTCTTAGCTCAATCTCATCATACACATAACACCAACGTATCTCCACCGGCAAAAGAATTGTCTGATCCTCCATTATCAAAGTTGCCATGCAAAAGCTTCGAGAATGAGTCTGACAGATTATTTAGCTTCAAGAATGGTAATGATACAACTTGAATTTTCGTTTTGTATTTTGTCTATATGTTGTTGACGTGTATCTGTTTTTTATTGTGTATGTAAATTTCAATTCGACTGTGTTTTCCTTTGTTGCATTTTTTCTGGATGCTATAAATATATGTAATCATGTAAATATTAGGAATGCTTGCTGTTGTTTGCGTTGGGATTAAATCAGATCAGATTCATACTTTCGAAACTATGTGTATGTTGTAGCGTTGTGTGACTTTTATTTAGATTCTGTAACATTGTTGTATTGATGTAAAATTTTCAATTCATATGTGTTGTTGTTTGTTGTTCACTTGTCGCATTGAAATCAGATCATATTCGTATATTCGACATGATTTCAATGTTGTAATGTTGTTGAATTTTCTTTTGGCATACTGACGTAAATATTTGGTATATATGCTACTATTTTATTGTTTATTATTGCATCGAAATCAGATC